AGGGAGGCTTGCTGCACTGTCCTGCATTGGCAGCCTCGTGGCTGGGGCAGGGTTGGACTCGAAAACCCCACTTACAGGGACTTTTCCATGACTCTTGTCAGTATCAGTGGTTCATAAAGTCCCGAGTTCGTATCCTGACTTTGGCGTCTACTGTGACTTTGTAGCTTAGCCTTGCTGATCCTTGGTTTTCTCATCAGTAGAGTGGGAATGATTGCAGACCTGCACCACACCACCTCGGGATCATGAGAGGATTAGATAAGATAATGCAAGTGGTAGGCTCGGCAGAGTTCCCGGCACTTGCTAAGTGCTCAATAGATTAGACTTGGATCACTTAAAAATTTTTTTGCATAGTTTTGCATTTTATTTGTAATTCATGCTTATATTTATGGTGGCTTCTTCTAGTAATTCTAATGGCAGCTTCTAGCACTTGACCTTTCTATGAGGCCCAGATGAGGAGTCTGTGCCCCCAGAGAACCTTAAGGCCACAATAGAGATGGCACTGGGCACAGGTCATTGCCCCAACCCAGGGGGCATCCTAAAATGCTCACCCTCAGGTCAGCCAACCCTGTGGGCTGTGGCCCATCACAGCCAGGGAAAAGGGGCTTCCCCAGGCTCTTTTCCAGCCCCTAGGTGGTGGGAGGGGAGATGCTCAAAAACACTGGCACTAGGGCTCATCCAGGTTTGGGGGGTGGGGGGTGCTTCCCTGGTGAAAAGCAGGATTTTACAGGCCCTCAACAAAGTGTACATCCCTTCCTGCCTTAGGTCCCTGTAGGGTGTCCTCCTACAGCTCCCCTTCCCACTGGGTTACCTGACCCTCTCCACTTCCCAGCCTCCACATCTGTCCTCTGCACAGACATGGCCTGAAGGATCTGCTGTTCCTCCTTCCTCTTCCCGACACCATTCTCATCCTTCCCGGACTGCTCTGGGTTCTCCTCCACCCCGCAAGGTGTAACAAAGTGTCACCCTGTGGTGCCAGCCTGTGGAGAAATTTCCTGGACTGTCCTCACGTTATTCCCACCCTGGCCTTCCAGCTTCCGGAGGTGTGGATGGTGTGTCTGTCTCCCAGTGGTGGGGAAAGAAGGGCCCAGAGCCCCCTTTCCAAGGCTGAGGATAGCCAGGCACTGTTGGGAGGAGTGAGAGGTCTGGGCACTACTTCCGGTTCTCCTAGACCAGAACGGAAATCCCCCAACGCCAGGCCATGTGCTGCAGAATTTCAAGACTGACCTTGGAAGACAGGACCCTTTGGGTGCTAGTCACCCTTTTTAAAGCATAATATTCAAAATGTTAGAAGTATGATTCTCATACAAATTATTACTGAGCGTGTGTTGAGGTTTTCTGTAACTTATTAATGAAGGAACCAGCAGGATGACAAAGCTGGTTCAAAGAAGGCTCAGAGAAACTGATACAGACAGTTGAGGAAAGAGTTGAGAAGAGAGAGAAGGAGGGAGGGAGGGAGAGAAAACAGGATATGTGAAAATACTTGACTAAGATTGCCAAGTTAGACACAAAGCTAGTTAATGTCCATAGGACAATAAAATTGTAAGCTTTAGGGCTCATTTCTCTACCAAACAGAAGTTATTTATTTCTCCCAACAAAAATCATTTGCACCTTATCAGTTTTCTGCAAATTAGCACCTAACTTTATAGAGTCTGGCCCCCATTAATAGCAAATATTAGTCAAAGATTTTTCTCCTAGAGAATCAGCTAACTCTTAGGTGGCTTTGTCCGCGTAATACTCTGGAACAGCACTGTCCAATATAAATATGATGTAAGCCATTATACATTTGTCATTAAAAATTTTCTAGTAGCCACATTTTAAAAAACGAATTGAAACTGGTAAAATTAATTGTGATCATATATTTTATTTAACCTAAGATATCCAAAATATTATTTCAGCATGTAATCAACACCAAAAAATTACTAATGAGATATTTTTACATTCCTTTTTTCCTAAGTGTTTGAATTCAGTACGTATTTTACACTTACAGCAGTTCAGACTAACCAAACCTCAAGTGCTCAGTGCCACTCGGGGCTGGTGGCTGCCATATTGCGTAGTGCAGCTGTAAAGCAGTGGTTCTCAAACCTCAGGGTGCATCGGAATGACCTGGAGGGCTTATGAAAACACAGATGGCTGAGTCTCACCCCAGGAGCTTCTGATTCAGCGGTCTGCAGTGGGGCCTGAGATTCTGCATTTCCAGCAAGTTCCCAGGTGATGCTGATGCTGCTGGTCTGGACACCACACTTTGAAAACCACTGTTCCAGAATGACTTTGAAAGGACTCACTGTCATCTTTTTGCCTTATTTTCAAGTTGTAGATGCTTTTGCTTAACAACCCTGAGACTGGTGGTAGGGCTGCAGGCTGTCTGCAGTGTTAGTATCGGCTTGGCCTCTGACTGGGTGGGTACTGGCTGGACGCAGCCTCACCAACTACCATCTGGTGGTGGGTGAGATTTCAGCCACCCTTCTTCCACCACTGATGGCACTGACTGTGTGCAGCTCTGAGCTAGAGGCTCAGGGAGAAAGAAAAAGAGGACTGACCGTCAGTATCCCCCACAGAAGGCCCAGGTCTTGTGTGGCTGCTTTTTACTCAACACCACTGCAGATAATGCCAACGAGGCTCAGAAACTGAAATGTCCCAGGACAGGCCTGCATAGATGGAGGTACCGGCAGGGCCCTGAGGTTCTCAGGGAGGGGTGGTCTCCAAAGCCCAGAAGGGCCAGAAGAGGTTGGCCAGACAGGGAGTGAGAATTGGTGTGGACCCAAAGGACAGGTGCAACCTGTACTGGGAAGGGAGGGGGTGGGAGACCTGCCAGGCAAGGGCTGCAGGAGGGGATGACAAGGGGGACTCCCCAGGGGGAGCCAGGATCCTGCAGGAAGCAGCAGCCTGAGGCTTTGGGAGGCTGAAATGAAGACAGGATCGGAAGGGACCTCAGCAAGCATCAATTACTACTCTCCTGGTTCATGAATAAGGAAGGATCCCAGAGATGTGAAAGGATTTACCCCAGGCCACACAGTGAGGCAGTGCCTGGAAGGCCCTCATCTCCAGCCACATCCCAGGGTTCTGCAGGTTTGGGAGTGGGGTTGGGTACAGAGGGCACGTGTGTGGTGTCTACACGAGTGTGCACTTTTTTGGGGTCACATGAGGTGTCTTCACCTCCAAATGCTCTGCGGGGGTGTATAGAAGGTCTACACTACATGAAAGTATTCTTTGGGTGGTGTCCACTATGGATGAAAATGCGTGCCGATGTAATGTCTCTATGGAAAGGGAACTAAAAACGGTTCCCAGAAGGGTGCCCATTGTGTGGGGGAATACGACAGGGGCTGAGGGGGTCACAGGCAGAGTGCAAGGGGAGATGCATCTCCAGGAAAGTGACTGCTGCCAGCTCCCAATGAGCGACGGCCCCCTTGGGAAACCTCTGTCCAGGAGTGGTGCCCACCCCTCCCAGAACTTGGGGACCTCCTCTTTGGGGACTAAGCTTTCAGAGCTTGTAATAAATCTGATTTCATGTTCGTAGAGTTTGGAGGCAACTCTGATGAGTTAAACGGATATACATATCTGGAGTTCAAGACCAGGGGGCTGACAAACAGGCAGCTGCTGGAGGAGCTCACAGAGCGGCCCAGGAAGCTGTGCCATGTGCCAGGACCCCCACAGACCTTAGCCCAGCACACTACAGCTTTGTAAAGGGCATCTTCCCGGATACTCACAGAGTCCTGTAGGGGTGAAGGCAGATTACTGATAGTATCCTGAGTTTATGAAGAGTACAAATCCAGAGTATTATCCATGGTTACCTCACGGCGGGGCGGCAGGGCCAAGGCCTCACCATCCACATCAACTGCCCGGAGGGACTGGAGGATCAAGTTCTCATGTGTTTGTCTAAAAAGCAGTCACATCGCTGCATATACTGTGCTTTTTTCTAATTACCGTATGTGAAAAAGAAGGTATTCGCCGTGTATCTGTACGGTGTGTCTGACAGGTATACCATGTGTATGTGATGGCTACACGCTCTGTGTGGTTAGGTTTTTGCTATGTGTATAAGGGATATAGAATGTGTATGAGGGAGATCTGTTTGCGGGGGATGTGCCGGGGCAGGGAGTCTATTGTGTGTGAGAGGGATTTGTTGTAGGGGGGACCTCTACATACAGTACATTGTATTTTACCGTAATGACAGTACAATATTTGCAATGACTATATTCTGGGTAATCATATACAACATAAAAATGGTGCACTAATGCATATACGCATATTCTTTCTGTGCATATACTAGTAGGATGGGCACACACTGTGCATGATGGTATAGATTCTGTGTGATTAGCATACCACATGTGTGTGGTGAGTCCAACCTGATGTGGAGTACGTATTGTGTATGCCTCTGTGAAGGTATACCCTGAGTGTGGTGGGTCTGCATTATGTGTGATGGCTGTATCTTGTGAGTAGTAGTATATAAGGCATATACAGTGTGGATACAATGGTTATACTGTTGTAAGTAAACATCTTGTGGCTGATAGGTATACTCTGGGGGAAGGATACACTATGTGATATGGATGCCCTCTGTGTGTGATGGGCATATACTATGACAAACATACATGGTGTGGGTTAAGTTTACAGGTAAGTGGAAGTACCTGCTACGTACGGTGTATACAATAATTCATGAGTACTAGGTGTATGTAGTATATATAATGGATGTATTCTCTAGGATGGATATACTGTGTATAGATGTGATGAGTATATACTTTGTGAGATGATTAAGCACTGTGTGGTCTGTACACTGTGGAGGTGGGGGATTTTCTGTATGGGGAAGTTGTCGTTGGGACAGGTCTACTGAATGTGTCACATGTACCCTGTGTGTATACAGCTTAGGATGGGAATATGGGGTATATGCCTCGTGTGAGCAGGCAGAGGGGAAGTTACCCTGCTGGGAGAGGGCGTGGCAGGAAGCAGTTGGATCTTCATCTGTTTCTAGAACCCCCAGACCCTTGAGCCCACCGACCACACTGTTTCAGGTTCTTCCTCAAGTTCTTCCTCAAATGCAACCAGAACTGCCTAAAGAATGCGGGGAATCCCCGAGACATGCGCCGCTTCCAGGTGGGTCTGAGGAGAGAGTTCTCCCCTGCAAACCTGCCCTATCCTGATGGGGCGGCCGGGGAGGCTGTGGCCCTGCCACCCTGAGAAAGGCCCCAGGGACAGACCCCTGCACAGACCAGTGCTTTGGAGCCTGGTGCTTGCTGGGGGTGGGGCAGCTCTGTCTCAACTTAAGCTGGCTGCCAAGGGAGGCTTCATTAGAGTCCCACTTAAGGAGATGCTAATTGTGACATTTTTACATGATTAACAACCCAGCTAATTTGCATAGCGTGAAGCAGAGAGCAGCTGCCCTTAGCACATCCCCAACCCGCACACCCCACCCAGTGAAGGGTAGGGGGGAGAAGGAGGTAGCCCCAATTTCCTCCCAAGAGCGGGGGCTCCTGCTGATGGGCTCTCGGGCCAATGCTCCCCCTCCATCAAAACACTCACTCCCACTTGCCTAAGACCCATTCCTGCCTCGGAGCGCTAGGGATACAGCCTGTGGTACGTGTGGGTGCAAAAACTGTAGCCACTCTGCCCAAGGAGTCAGAGATTTTTCTTCAGGGCTTTTGATTTTTCTAGCTCCTGGAGGTCAGTTCCCCTGGGCAGCCAGAGACTGTGCATCTGAGGGTGTCACCTAACCCAGCTGGTCCCCCTTCCACCAGCTCAGCTCCAGAGGGGCTGAAGCTCTTCCCCATGCCAGTGACCCTGAACTACAGTATCCAGCCACCGGCCTCAAGTTGCCAGTGCCCCCCAGCAGTCCCTTACTGGAAGCCCCAGCCAGGCTGGCCTTGGCTCTCCCCACAGGTGGTGGTATCCACAACGGTGAGCGTGGATGGACACGTGCTGGCCGTGTCCGACAACATGTTTGTGCACAACAACTCCAAGCATGGCCGCAGGGCGCGCCGCCTGGACCCCTCCGAAGGTCAGGACCCCCAGGCCAGCCCCGTTGCCGCGGGCCCAGCCAGCCCCAGTCCCCACCTTGGCATGGGCCCCTGACCTGGCTCCTCTCCTGCCTCCCAGCTGCCACCCCCTGCATCAAGGCCATCAGTCCTGGGGAGGGCTGGACCACGGGCGGCGCCACCGTCATTGTCATCGGCGACAACTTCTTCGACGGGTTGCAGGTCGTGTTTGGGAACGTGCTCGTGTGGAGTGAGGTGGGCCGCTCCCGCCGGTCTCCCTCCCAGCCTGGGGCTGGACCCTGCCCTCGCCGGGTCAGAACCCGCAGGCCTCCCCTCTCCCCTCGCAGCTCATCACGCCCCACGCCATACGGGTGCAGACGCCCCCACGGCACATCCCTGGGGTGGTGGAGGTGACCCTGTCCTACAAGTCCAAGCAATTTTGCAAGGGAGCCCCCGGCCGCTTTGTCTACACAGGTAAGGAGTCAGGGGGGTGAAGGGAGGCCCAGGGTTGTGGGATGGAGCCCCACGCCGCACACACCAGCCCTGGTGTAGGAGTCAGTGAATAGCCAGGCCCCCTAAGCCCCTGCTGGCACTCACCCCATATCCCAGGACACCTCCTCTCCGGACCTTCTTTCCCTGTGCTTCTGTTTCCTTCCCTGGCCTCCACGTCCTCAGACGCCCTGCCCGGACATTCTCTCTGCCTCCAGCATTCTCCAGAGCAACTCCCCCCACCCCCTTCACCTTCTGCACTCCCCAGTGTCTAGAACATCTCCACAGGGAGATTTATTTCAAAGATGCCCCCAAATAGCTTGCTGCTCCCCAAATCTTCCCGGTTCTCTTGGTTCCCCCAAGCCACCGCAGGCTTCACGTTGCATGCACACGAACACACACACACACACCTTGCATGAAGCCAGGGCGAGAAGTTAACACAAGACAGGAGTGTAAGCTACTCCTGAAGATGTGGCTTCATCCCCCTTCCCAGGTCTATCTGACCACTGGCCCGTATCCTCTCCACATCCACCATCTGGCACTTTTCCCCATTCCCCCACCCCACCTAACAGACATTCACCAAGCCCTTCAAGGGGCACTGGACACTCAGTAGTGACCCTACTTACTGTCGGGGAGCTCCAGTATAAGAGTGAGGGAGGAACACAGGGAACACAGCATGGGGTGGGTAGAGTTACACAATAGAGGAGCTAGTGGTTGTCGGAGAAAACCTCCAGGCACGAGTGTGGACTAAACTGCTAAGCTGGAACCAGAGGGGTGAATAAGGAGGTAGAGATGAGGAGGAAAAGGCATCCCCGGAGAAGGAATGGCAAGTACGAAGACCGGTGAAGGAGTGCCTTACGTTTTAGGGGAAACTAAAGGAAATTCATTAAATCTAGAGTTGGAGGTGGAGAAGGTAGGTAGGGCTTTGAGGCTGGTAAGATAGGTCGGGGCCAGGCTACAGGAGGAGGTGAGGAGGAGGAGGAGGGCTTCGGGAGCCAGGTTAGGAGGCTGCAGCGTCCTCCCCAGAGCCCTGGGTGTGGGGCAGCCCACTCCTGGGACACAGGCATACCCCTAACGGTCAGGTGCCGCTGAGAGGCCACCAGAGCTGTGATACATGAAGACTGTTGGGTATTTTTTTTCTTTTTTTATAATAAATAATTCACTCCTGATAAGACCAAATGCAGACAAAACTTTCCAGTCCTGCCCCTAGGAATACTGAAGCTAATATATACACAGTTGCCTTTTTTCTAATCACAAATGGGATCGTATAGTGCATGTGTGTTAATGCCAAGCAGCTGGCACAGAGCCTGGCTCAGTAAACATTTGTTGAATGAATGAGCAAGAAAGGAACTGAGGAAACTTCCCGAGCCTCGCTGACCCGAGTGCCCGGAGTTTTCCGAGAGGCTTGGGCTGGCCTTGGGGGAGGTCTGCAGCAAGGCTCCCGGACTGGTTGCTGGCGGGCTTGGCCCTGCCCTGGCGCCGTGCCGGGAGGGGCGTCCTCCAAACACCGCCCCTCTCCCCAGCCCTGAATGAGCCCACCATTGACTACGGATTCCAGAGGCTACAGAAAGTCATTCCCAGACACCCCGGAGACCCCGAGAGGCTGCCCAAGGTACTCAGAGGAGCGGGGCGGGGAGAAGGGTGTCCGGTGGCCGAGGGGAGAAGAGGCGGCTCCCGGCCCCTCTGCCGCCCCCGGGGCCGCCCCTCCGTCCGGCTGTTTTCCTCCTTGCCCCCAGGAAGTGCTGCTGAAGCGGGCGGCCGACTTGGCGGAGGCCCTGTACGGAGTGCCCGGCGGCAACCAGGTATGGCGCCTCCGCCCGCCTCCCCGCGCCGGGCCCGGGGCTGCCCGCTTCCCGGTGCCCGCGGCTGCCCCGGCCGTGCCCGCTCTTGTCTTCGCAGGAGCTCCTCCTGAAGCGCGCAGCAGACGTGGCCGAGGCTCTGTACAGCGCCCCCCGCGCGCCCGCGCCGCTCGGGCCCCTGGCCCCCAGCCACCCGCACCCCGCCGTCGTGGGCATCAACGCCTTCAGCAGCCCGCTGGCCATTGCCGTCGGGGACGCCACGCCAGGGCCGGAGCCGGGTGCGTCCCGCCGCCCTCGCCCTCCCAGCCGCCGGCGCAGCTCGGATTGCCCCTTCCCTGCCGGCGCGCGCCCCTGACGGCCGCTCTCCCGCAGGCTACGCGCGCAGCTGCGGCAGTGCGTCCCCCCGCGGGTTCGCGCCCAGCCCGGGCTCGCAGCAGAGTGGCTACGGCGGCGGCCTCGGAGCTGGCCTCGGCGGCTACGGGGCGCCGGGCGTGGCCGGCCTCGGTGTGCCCGCGTCCCCCAGCTTCCTCAATGGCTCCACGGCCACATCGCCCTTCGCCAGTGAGTGTCCCCTGCCTCCCGGGGAGTGGGGGAGGGACCAGGCCCCGGGGAGCAGAATGGGGCTCAGCCCAGCTCCATCCTAGCCTATGAGGGGTGGGGGGAGCTCCTGTCACCTGTCGCGTGAGCACCGACCCTGGCCTTGCCCTCAGAGGCAAGGGCAACCCTCTCTGTGTTCGACCTCTCTCTCTCTGCCTTTGGAGACCCAGCCCTCAACCCCGGCGCCGGGGCACTTCTTGCACTTTTAGTTCTCTTTGCTGACAGCAGTTGTGCACATAGCTTCTAGCCTTCCCCTCCTACTGAAACGAGCTTTAACACGGGGACATCCTGCTTAAACCTAGTGGACCGCCAACCTTTCCAATCTTATGCCAGGACTTCAGGAGGAGGGCTAGTGCCCCCTGCCGGAAGCCCAAGGGAACTCAGGGCCCAAGAAAAGTAGGTTTCCACCTGGCCCCACGCCCCCCAGGAGAGGCAGGGGCCTGAGGAGGGAAGACGTGGCTCCCAGCAATCTGGTTGGGCAGAGCAAGAATTCTGTGTAGTCAGACACCTGGACTCACAGTTTGATTGTCCAAATCAGGAGCTGTCTGACATTCAGCAGGTTACTTCACTTCAGTTTCCTCTCTGTAAAACCGGATCAGTACCACCTGTTGCCTAGGGTTGTTCTCAGACCTGAATGTGCCACTGTGCATAAAGGGCCCAGACGCAGTTCAGAAAGAGTGTGGGAATTTACATCACAGCACTGGCTGTGGGCATTAACCGTCTTCTGTCTGGCTTCTTGGGGTGGGCAGCTCAGAGCTGGGTGGATGGGCGACGGGGCGTTTATGCTTTTACCATGCACTGCCCTCAAGTCCCTCCTTCCAACAGCAAATTCCAGAACAGCCTGTTTGCAGGTTCTTACAGCTTAGCTATTCAGCAGACATGTTTTTAAAGCACCCAGCTTGGGGGATTGCTCCACCCCTGCTCACATACAAGGAGCCTCCCCCATCAATTGTAAGAGAGATTGCACCTTTAGTCCTGGGAGACGCTGTCGTGCCAGAGGAATGGGGAAGGTTGGCCAAGGAGGCTTTTCCTGCCATTCCTTCGCCTGTCCCCTGTCATATGTTTGCTATTGCTGAAGACCAACATATCTGGCACCTGCCTAGCCTTCCTTCCCATGGCCTACATCCTGAGTACTGCTCTTTTTGGCTGTGGGTTTGAGTCTGGCTCTCTACGTCTGGCCTGGGCTCAATGTTTGGGACCAGAAGCCCCATGTTGCTGGTGTCCACACAAACCATGACCCTCTGGTGTCCCCACCAAGACTCCTGTCTCCCCTTTGCTCAGGTCAGGCTCCACTGCTCCTACTTCCCTTCAGTTCTGGAAAGTATTCTTACCACCTCTCTCAGGGTGCCCCCCAGGTCGAAGCTGGTGGAGTTTGGAACACCAGCCCCCCTTCTCCGCCGCACACACAGTGCAGTCAGCAGTGGAGGAACACACTGCCCCAGTGGGCAAAAGCCAGCCACCTGGGGTCTTCCCATTCAGCCAGGAGATCAAGAATTCTACAGCTGCTTAAGCCTCACTCCAGCATCAACTGGGGACACCCTGGGCTGGCCTAAGGGTCAGTCCCATCTGGTGGGATTGTTCTGTCCAGTCCCCATCCTCTCCCCCTTGTGCACGACGCTTTGTGGTGAAGCTCCAGGGGGCATCATTCTCATTGAGTTTGCCAGGACGTGCCTGTAATGACCTCCGGAACTGTCCCTGCCAGAGGCTGTCTGCTCGGACCTCCCCTCTGTCTTCTGCTTCAGCCGCCAGCAGCCCTGGACTGAACCACAACTCCCAGTACTACCCAAGCTACAAAATGTGGCTGTGAGCTCTGGGCCTTGAGAGATACAGTACATTTTCTGGCATTTATTTCAAGCCCTCCACGGAGCTCCATGGATCTCATGAGCTAGCAGTCAGCATTGTCTTAAAAGGAGACGGTGATCCATGGGGCCGAGTACATTTGGAACAGGGGCAGCTGTTGAAGGCATCACTGTTCCAAAGGGGGTGGGTGGGGGGTGTTCTGATACCAAAAGCATCTTTCTCAGGCTGCTGGTTTCTTTCAGGAAACCCCCACCCTCATCCCATTGCCCGCTGCCTGGACAACACTCAAATCACAGTCTTATTGGTCTTTAGAAGAGAGAGGCAGGGAATTGTGTTCAGATGAGGTTGTAGAAAGGGGAATCCAGAGATGGCCTGGGCAGGAGCCCCCAGGAGAGGAGGCTGCAAGAAGGAGGGGCAGGCAAAGGCTGTGTGCAGGAGGCTCCCTGGCTATTCCCAGGAGAGCAAGCCACAGCCATGGGGGCTAGGGGGTTAGGGAACAGGAAGATCTGAGGATTTGGATCTCTGTACCTTTCTTTAAAATGGACCTGCTGGAAGAGGGAGATCCAGGAGGCCTCCAGGACCAGGGCTGAATATGATGAGGACCTGCATTAAGCTGGAAGAGAACAGAGTGTCAGGGGTTGGAGGGAGTGTAATTGGTAAGGGGAACATATTTGTGGGGGGAGTAAGGGTTCTTGTGTGAGCTGTGATCCTGGACAGAGGGGCCTTATAACAAGAGCCTATGTGTACCCCCCAAACTTCGTCCCTGGCCACTTGCCCCAGCTCTGCTATGAACCCTGACCTTTGACTCTAACCTTGATGCCCCAGGGCCCGTCAATGTTTCTTAGTGTCTCAGAATCCCAGTGGTTTTCAGCAGGAATCCTAACCTGTTTCATTTCTTGCTCATGCCTCATCTTTGCGGGCACCTCTCAGTATCTGGTTTTGTTGGATGTTCTGGTTTTGCTTTCGTTTTTTGGGTTTTGTTTGTTTGTTTGTTTTTAACCTCATCTGGCCCTATCATCTCCAATGCTAAGAAAGGGTCTCCAGAACCCCCAAAAGGGCAAATGCTAGCCCGCAACCCCAGAGGCTCCCAGCCTGCCTCCAGACTCTACCCTGTACTGGTCTCCCCAGGACCCTCACAGCCCCCAGTGTGGGCTGAGCCTGGCACCCAGGTCAGCAGCCCGCACAGGGCATACTTCTCATGCCAGGGCAGCAACCGAGCTGCTCACTCTGGTGCTGTCTCCCTGTTGTGTCTCCCACCGCCTTCCCTGCTGCGCCTGCCCCTCCCCGCCCTGGAGTCATGCCCTCTAGCCCCCCGCTGGCCGCTGCCTCCTCTATGTCCCTCCCGGCGGCTGCCCCCACCACCAGCGTCTTCTCCTTCTCGCCTGTCAACATGATCTCCGCTGTCAAACAGAGGAGTGCTTTCGCCCCCGTGCTGCGCCCACCCAGCTCCCCACCCCAGGCCTGCCCCAGAGCCCATGGAGAGGGGCTTCCAGGTGAGTGCTCCATGCTGCCTCGCTGGAACCTCGCAGAGCAGCTGGGCCTGCGCAGCCCACTCCATCCACATCTCACAAAGAGCTTCAAGCCAGGTGACCAGTTCTCCCTGGGGGTTGCAGAGGAGGGAGCTCCGCAGGGGTTCAAGGAGGTCCATCTGGACCCCACTTCCCTGGGCCTCATAGCTTGGGACGGTCTCACTCTGGACCATCAAGGAGACAACAATACCAGTTGGAGAAGGTCTGGAAACCACTTCGAGGCCTCATCCAGTTGAGCCCAGAGTAAAGACCCAACATGCAGAGCTGGAAAAACCCCACCGTGGGCTGCGTGCCTTTGACCTGTACCTGCCTATGTCCACTGGAGGATAGCACACACCACTGTGAGAGACCAGGCCACTTGCTGGATGGAGGGGGACTGGCCTTAGATAAGGCTTAGCCCAGCTTCACCTTCCCCATTTACAGATAGGGAATTGGGACCAGGCCACCCCTCCTGCAGCCCATTAGTGAAATGATTGTTATTTGCCATTTATCAATCTCCTCCAAGTCAACATCCAACTTAAAGCCTGGGTTCTAACCAGTAGTGTATATAGCAAGTCAAAAAGAGTTGCATCCCTTAGAATAAGATGACTTTTGGGGTGGGCTTGTTAGATGATGCTCTAGGATAATTCAAAGTGGAACACAGTTATATTTAGCCTTGTTTCCAAGTTTTGGATAATTTTTCTTAACCTAAGTGTGTCTGGAGCTTAAAATGCAGGGAATAGGAAGGACAGAAGGCCACCAGTTTCTCCTGCAGCAAACCATGGGAAGGGGGTTAGAAAGAGGCAAGGGTGATGGAAGTGATGAATTTCGTGGGGGTGTGGGAGGAAGACATGCTGCTACCGCTGCATTAGGTATCTGTACTCCTGGAGGCTGACCTCTTCCCTTTGCTGTCCTGATACATGGCCGTCTGCTTCCTCACCTTGAGACAGGCCCTCTGAAGGAGACAGGCTGGGAAGAAGAGCCCAGAGTCATGTCTCTCGATTGAAGAAACTAGGGGGTCAAGGGCTTGGGGCTGTACCTCCTAAGAGGTCTGGGGGGCACACCTCACCTAACTGTCTGCAGTGCTGGGCCTAGGCTAGGACTGGGGGTGGCTGACTACCTTCAAGGCTCTTGATAGTTCTGCCCTCAAAAAGTGCCATATGTCCTGCATGCTGCCCCCAGTCGAGAGGGGCACAGGCTACACATGGCTTATGGCTCCCCTGCTTGGTTACTGCAGACCAGCCTTTTGAAGATTCTGACAAGTTCCACTCTCCAGCTCGGGGGCTTCAGGGCCTGGCGTACTCCTAATTACGGTAGGTCTCTGGCTGAGTCTTGCTTCCCTTCCTGACCTTGGATGGGCTCTCTCCAAAAGACTTTAGCAGGGATGGGGTGTTGGGGTCCATGTCTCCCTCTCCAGGGCCCATCTAGACAGCTGTCAGGGCCACATAGCCCAGCCCAGTGGCCCAGGCTGAACAAGAGGCGAGAAGTGGCTTCCTGTCCCCTTGCAGCCGGCCTTCCTACAGGACCTTCATCTTTTCCTCTCCCCACCAGGTCTACAGGTGTTGTCCCCACTGAGCCCGGACTAGTGGTCCCTCCAGGATTCACGCCCATGCCCTGGATGGCAGCACAGACAGATGCAGGGCCAGGGCTGCAGGCAGACTTCAACCCACAGGCCTGAACAGGGAGAGGCCTTCCTCCCTGTGCTCAAGGGCCCCTCCGTCCCACAGGCTTCTCTCACCTCCCTTGAGGCTGGTTGGAAGCCCCAGCACTGTGCTGATGCTCTTGTTAGGAGAGCATCCCGTGGAGGTGCTGGATGCCTGACCTCACTTGCTGGGTCGGTTCCTCTGGAAGAGATGGACCTTGTGCAGACCAAGGGCATCTGGTGACAGGAGCATGGGATGGGGAGTATGATCAGGAGCTCAGGAAGAGGTGGCCTGGGAAGGTCCTGTTTGCGTCTGACCCATCTCAACCATCCCGGCATCCCAAATACTCTCCAGGACGAGGGGTGGTGCCCAGCAGCCTCAGGAGGCCTGCCTAGGCTCCCATGGAGCTTCTGACAGCCACTTGATTCTGTGGCCGCCCCACTTCCTTTGAGTCCTGAGCACTCATGCTTGCCACATCATGAATCCCGGTGGGGGCTTTGGGCATGAAGGGTGCAGAAGAGGAGGTGCCAGGCCCCTGGTTGTGGATCTTGCCCTCAGTGGATGTCTCATGGACTCTGGCCCCACACACAGATGACCCTGGCTGGCCCCATAGAACCATGGAACGAGTCCAGCTGCCCCTGGTCTCATACTCTGCTCTGCTGAGGTTGGAGAAAACAATAAACACAGGTGCAGGTGGCCACCTAGCCTCCCTTGTCTGCTTCCTTGGTGTGGGTCTGCTTTTCTCAGCAGCTCTGCAACTCTAAACCATGCCCCTGGGCAGCCTTCTTATACCTTGGACTTTTTCAACAGCATCAGAGTTCAACTGAGCAAGTATTCCCTGCCCCATATCTGCTCTTGGGTACTGAGTTGGGGGGTTTGGGGAGGGGTGGGAAGACCCAGGACACGGGCTCAGCCCTGAGAACTCTGGCTGGGAGCCCATTCTGGGCACTGAGGACTCAGTCCCCCAGCTGTCTGAGCAGGACCAAGGTTGGGGGTGTCAGAAGGACATTGCTGGGAACCAGAACAGAGCCAACTAAATACTACCCAGATGTACAGAGGCTCAGAAGTGAAATCCTTCTTGACTGGAGGCTGCTGGGTGGGGCAAATTTTGGCTCCTAGGATTGCCTGATTAAGTGACACCCCAAACTTCCTCCCTCCTTCCCAGGCCTAGGCACTTTCCAGCTCTCCTGTCTCAGAGTTTTGGAGGATGGGTGGTAGAAAGGCAAGATTCCCAGGCTCATCTACCCAACTGCAAGGATGAATCCCAGTTCTCCCCCTGAAACGTGTTCCCTAGACCCCAAAGGTCTAGCTTTCTGGCACTGGAAGCCACTTTTTTCATGCACTGTCCAGAGATCCCAGGGTCCAACTCCAGGCCTCAAGCTTCCTTTTCTCTCCTCCTGACAGCAGTCCTTTGCTCTGGCCACTGGAAACCTGTCCTTCCCCAACCCATGAGCCCATGCCTTGCAGCCCTCTGGACAAATAATACTTGCCAAGGCAGATAGGCTGGCCCCGTCCTTTAGAGGCCTCCACTTTCTTCTCTTGTGTTCCTGCCAATACCTGGGATTCATCTCACCGGGGCCCGTGATGAGATAGCCTCCTACCTAAGAATCCTGCTTTATTCTCAGTGCTCGCCTGGCCTCCCCTCAGTTCCTGCCTTCAGCCTGTGTTGCAGAGCCCCAAAACCTGCCAGCCATGCCCTGCTCCATTCAGGCTCTGAGCAGTTTCCACGGTCCAGGGCCCTCCCAGGTTGATAATCTGCTGAGCGCTAATCTGTACCAGATGCAGGTTCCTGGAATGGGTCAGGTGCCGTGGTTGGTATAAATAAGATGTGATATTTGTCCTCGTAGATCTCACAACTGTCGTCAAGCCACCATTTGAGTCAACACTGCCCACTCCTGGGAATTCCCTGGTGGTCCAGTGGTTAGGACTCTGCACCTCCACTGCCAGGGGTCCCAGTTTAGGGAACTAAGATCCTGCAAGCAGCACAGTGTGGCAGGTTAGAGAGAGAGAGAGAGGTAGATAGATAAATACTGCCCACTCCCTCATCCACAGAAGGCAGAGCTAATCACTATGATGTTTGCTCTGGACTGAATTGTGTCCTCTCAAAATTCATACATGGAGCCCAAACCCCTCTGCCTTTGTGGCTATATTTGGAGACAGGGCCTTTAAGGAGGTGATTAAGGTTAAATAAAGCCATAAGAGTGGGGCCCTAATCTGATAGAACTGTGTCCTTGTATGAAAAGGAAGAGACTCCAGAGCTCTCTGTCCACTATGTGAGGACACAGGCAAGAAGGCGGCCACCTACAAGTCAGGAAGAGTCCTCACCAGGGTTCAAATCAGCTTGCACCTTGATCTGGGACTTTTCTAGCTTCTGAAACTATGAGAAAATAAATTTCTTTGTTTAAGCTGCCTAGTCTATGGTATTTTATTATGGCAGCCCAGGCTGACTAACACAATGTTCTTCCCGCATGTCTTGGTTTTGGTTCCCCAAGAAGCAGAACCTGAGACAGGTTCCCTGCTGGAGAACTCTGGAAGACAGTGTAGAACATAACTCAGGGTTTTCCCACCCAAGGGGCAGAGGATCTGGGATATTGATCCTCCAGCCCTCATCTGTCACTGCCCGGGGGCTGCTTCCAGGAGATTAACTCTCTGACCCTTCTGGCCTGCCTGTGTCTCCTGCAGAGAAAAAGCCATCAGTAGACTTTGTTGTAGGATATTGTAAGCAAATTCTGGAGCAGTGAGTCTGAGGGGGTATGAACAAGTAGAACCAACAGTTCTATGCCACAGACCCACCAGGGTCACAAAATCATTTTTAACACAGTCTCTAGTCAGGGCCATCACTTGAGATGAAAACTATTAACCAAATCTGGCAAATATCACACCAGGTCATTTTGTAGCCAATAAATCAGTGAGGAGTGAGTGAAACTGGACCATGAGTCATGGGTCAGTACCAGACAAGCCTGCAACCAAGTCTGGGTCTGCATCTGGATCTGCAGCAACTCCAGCAAAGCAACAAGGGCATTTTTTCCTGGGCCTCACAGCCAGAACACCTCTCTGGGCTTGCAACATTCTCTAGTCGAAAGGGACACCATTCTCCATAGATCCAGCCATCCTGACTCAGGATGATATTAAACTGAGTGGCAGAAGCTTGGTCTTGATCTTACATAAATCTGTATGGAGAACCCACTGCCCAGTAAATGCTAGCGT